CTTACCAAGCCTTCTGTTGGGGATTGGCTGAGGTCCCTCAAGAGTGCAGCCAGCCACTCTTCAGATCCACCCACTGCCTCCCAGGCCCTCCTTTGAAAGCCTCAGAGCAGAGGGAAATTCCAGTGGAGCTGGCCTATAGAGTCCCTCAGCCCTGACCATAATTTGAGCCCTCTGGCTATTACACACGAGCTGCTAACCAGCTCCTGGCTAACCATTATGGTCTAGCTCCGCCTAGCTGAACTAAGAGTGTGCTACAACTATATAAATATATACTAACTTTTCTTTGTTTGACATGACACAATTTATATTTGAATTCACATTTACAAGCTTCAGATGTCCATCAAAAGTGACAAGGGTTGGGGAAAACTATGCCACTACCTATTCTTCCAAAGCTCTTTTTTATTCACACAGTTTAAAGTGGAAGTTCACCCTAAAACTACTTTTGGAGCATACTGTATAACACATGTACATGCACCAAAATGTCCAGTCCTGCTATATCAAACCCCTTCAATCTTCCGACAGTTAGAGCAGGCTTTCCAGCGGTTGCATGTCATTCCATATAGTCCACTTCCAAGCAATAAAAAAAGGAAGCCACTCTCCATTAAAACCTTGCACATGTTTTTATTAAAATACTTCAAGCACATGCCAATCCATCTGTCTCACAGTCTAATGTGGTTTACTCCATAGACTCTACAAATATGTTCCATATGAAGTGAAAGACATTATGTCTGTGGGGTCAGTGGATCGGTGTGTGTGCTTGGAGTACTTTGATAAACATATGCATGGTTTTACTGGAGAGCTGATGCTCTTTTTTGCTTGCTTGGAAGTGCAATATAACACAAGTCAATAACAAACAAAAATTCCCAGCTCACTTACCAGCCAGCCTGCAATAAAACCAAATTGATCCTGTCTAACAGTTTACGATAAAAACAAGGGGTTTCCTTTGCACACATTTGCAAATATATGCGTAAGCTGTAGGGCGATGTCACTGCACCCCAGTGTACTGCAGTCCTAACGCTATACATTTTGAGAATGTCAGGGAGCGAGGAGCCAGACACACAAGGAGGTGCAATTAAAGGTAGGTTTATTAATATAAAAATAAGACAAGAGTCTATGCAAGTCCAACAGCGGAAATCGTAGCCAAAGCCGGGATCAAGAGTCAGGAAGAATCGTCGCCAGAGCCGGGATCAGGAGCCAGGAAGAATCGCCACCAGAGCCGGGATCAGGAGCCAGGAAGAATCGTCACCAGAGCCGGGATCAGGAGCCAGGAAGAATGGTCGCCAGAGCCGGGGTCAGAAGCCAGGAGGAGTCTTAGCCAAAGCTGAGTCGGTATCCAGGAAAGCTAAACAGGAGCTTGTTGCTGTGCAAGAGACAGGACATGAATGCAATGGACAGCTACAAACAGCAGACTTATATGTGATAAGCTGCCACCTCCTGGGGGAGGAGCCGCAGAGGACTGAAAGCATAAAGGATCCCACAATGCTTTGCAGACACCTAAGATGGATGCCAGCACATGGAGCAGCACAGCCCTGAGGAAAGGTAGGACCTTGACAGAGAATTGGAGCACATATATAATAGTAAAGGATAGATTAAGGGCAGATATGCCTGGAGGGAGCCTACCCCTCCTTAACCGCCTCCCGCCCGCCATATAAGGAAATGATGGGTGAAAGGCGGTTCTCTCGTTCTGGGAGGACGTCATATGACATCCTCCCACTCTAGCGGCGATCGGTGGTGCGCTGTGTCCCTGGGACACAGCAGATCACCGATCAGCGGAAAGAGCCGATCATGTGATCAGCTGTGTCCAATCACAGCTGATCGCATGTAAGTAAGGAAATGCCGGTTATCGACATTTCTCTGCTCACGAGCTGTCATGCTGTCAGCGCGAAGGTAAAACAGCTTGAGCCCTTAGAACCACTTTAGGCTCCCCAATTTGTGCCAGTCCTTGTCAATGTAGCCTTTGCTGGACAACTTGGTCTACATTTAAAGTGTCACTAAACCCGAGTTCTCCCCGGACCCTGCATTCACTCTATCTGGTCTCCCCGGACCCTGCATTCACTCTATCTGGTCTCCCACAGTACACACAAAATGGAAATGCAATTATTTTAGAAAATATAAACTGCTAAATACCTTTTCTCAGCAGCAGTTAGAGCAGTCTTGTGACTTCTATCAGTGTTCGGCAAAGCACTTATTAACCTCCTTGGTGGTATTCCTGAGTGTAGCTCGGGGTAAAATTTCAGTACCAAGAGCGGTAACCCCGATCTACACTCGGGCTTACCATGCGGCGTTGCACAGGGATTCCCTACAGCGCTTACCTTGTCCTTCGCTCCCGCGATGCGTCCCCTGCAGCGTCCCCGGCCATCTCCTCCGGCCGATGCCGGCATCTGGCTTCTGTGTTCCGGTCCCTGTGACGTCGGGACGTACGGGCGCCGGAATCGGCGGCAAATTTGAAATTTTTTAAAAAATTCATTTTTTTTAAAATTATTATTATATAGTAAAACATTGCTGTTTCAATGCATTTCACATATATTTTGTCCCTACTGCTTTGTCCTGTGCCCTGCCTGCATTTTGACTGTTCTTTCGGCCTGGAAACTTAGAAAAGTCCATGGCGTCCAAAAAGCGTCCCTTTATGTCAAAAGCAGTTTTAGACCAGCTAGAGAACAGCGATAGTAAATCAGGACCACTTGCAGAATTGAGTGATAATGATTCGTGGGGGAAATTCGTCATCAGACACTGAAAACGATTTTGCGACTTTGCTCAAATATTTATATTATTTATTTTTTATGATTATTTATTAAATTATAATTTATGATTTCGTGTTTCAAGTTTTATCATATCCGGAATGTTTACTAGACTCTTGTTCGGACAGATTTCAGTGAGTTATTCCTAGAAATTACAGCCTACAATAAAAAAAAAACTACATATTTCCATGCAAAAAAATGGTACCGCTTTCAGCACAAAAAATCGGAAATAATCATACCGCCAAGGTGGTTAAAGATCATAGGAGGAGTTTTCATTCTGCTGTAGGAGGATGCAGAACCCCTGACCTCCTAGCAACACACACCAAACTGAGCATGTGCAGAGTATATCCACAAGATATGTCTTATCAGGAGATAAGAGGGGGGCACTGGAAGAAGAGGAGGATCAAAGAAGACAGGATCAAACAGCATTTTTACACAATGCAGAGGATTAACCCCTTAGGTTCCGCAGTCAGTATAACAAGCATGCTTTGCTGCATATACAGACTGATTTTACTGTTGTGGGTTCAGTAACACTTTAAATACAAAGAAACATAGTATATATATAGTATAATAATTATTTATATATGGAATACTATCATACGCACATTCATGGTTTGAATTAAAGTACATACAAGGATTTGCAATAAAGAAATACAGTACGAAAGATGACAAAAGGGTACTTTTTGAATGCTAAAAGCATAGAACATTTATTGTAGGATTTTACCCTATTTTGTAGCACAGAATATTAAACCTTGAATCCATCCAAATCCATGAATAGGTCTGATATCAGAAAGCCGCAGCCCGTTCAGGGATTGTAAAGTGACAAAGCTGTTTATGACTCTCATGTATTAAGCTGTTGCAGAATTAGAGAACTGATAGATGGTTATAGGAGGTGGTGAAGGCCTCTGACATAGAGCGCGGGAATTAAATCTTGACTTTATTCACAACATTGTGTTGAGAAATGGAGACGGGAGCTGCTCACAAATTAGCCGCTTGGGGGATGTAAACACTTTCAATATTTCATCCAGGTGCTGAGAGACCGAGGATATTAGATTATGCTGCAGGAATGAGCACATCCCTGTTATGTGTCTGTGAATACAGAGAAATATAAAACAGAAAGACCCTCAACACTTTATCTGCAAAAGTTAAGTCTTTTAAAAGAGAAGGGCAGGTTTCTGAAAAAAAAACAAAAAAACAAACATACATACTTACCTATGTAGATGCAGCATCGGATTTTTTTTTTCCCCCACAGCCTTTACACCAAGAACTGAGCGATCAAAGACTGTTCAGTTCTTGGTTTTCAGTCAGCAAAGAGCTGGTGACTGTCAGTCACTGGCTCTCTGTTCTACCCCTTCAGCACTCACAGGAGAGCTGAGCTGTGGTAAGGGCGGGAGTGACTGGCTCAGGCTCTCGAAACTGAGCCAGCTGCCAGTCAGGCATCTGGGTGGATCCTGACATTATTGTCGGAATCCCTGCAGAGCCTGAGTCACAGGAGTGCAAAACTCTCCGGCTCTAAAGAAGTTACTAATATTACTACTACAGCCTTAAGGCCCATAGACATGATAAGAAAATCATATGAAAATTTTCGTAGAAGGACCAATCGTCTGATAATCTGAACGTTAGTATAGAGCAGGGGTCTCCAAACTTTATAAATAAAGGGCTGGTTTACTGTCCTTCAGAGCTTAGGGGGGCCGGACTGTGGCCAGTGGGGGGTAGAAATTGCACTGGTGTCAGTGGGAGTAAACAATATCTTTGATATTGGGTGGAAGAATAGTGCCCCATATTTTGTTTCCGTGGTAGGAATTATGCCCCATTGTTGGTTCTAGTGGGAGGAACAGTGTCTCATATCAGTGGGAGGCCCCAAGGGCTCGAAAAAGGCAAGCAAAGGGCCGCATCTGGCCCCCGGGCCACAGTTTGAAGACCCCTGGTATAGAGCATTCGAGAGCCGATCATGACAATTAATGCAACAATATCCGAAGGGACAATTGCACACATTTTTCTCGGACGATACCAGATTGTATGATTTTCGTTTATTCAGTACAGTAGTCGTCCAAAAATACAATACATGACATCACTTTCGAAATTCTATTCAGTTGTACGAGAATTTTCAAAAGCTGAGTAACCGCTTCATTTTCAATATGGAGGCTAGCATGCCAAAAAAAAAACGGACAATCATTTGTTCGATATTCTCATCATGTGTACTAGGCCTTAAGCTGAAGTCCACTGTTTGATTCAACAAGGACTCTAACATAGCTTATCCTCAAATGTATATAGTTTCTGTTTTTGGATTATCCCACCAGGGGCGGACTGACCTTTCGAGCACTCGGGCGCTGCCTGAGGGCCTGGGGTCAGTAGGGAGCCCCATGAAATGCCCCTGGTACCTTTTTTATAGGTTTTTTTGAGTGTGGGCAAGGACACAGGGGCCCCATGATCCCCTATTGACCGGGGGCCCCATGAGTTGTCAGTCCGCCCCTGTATCCCACTCATCTCCCTCAACCCTGTCCATGTTCTCCAAAAATAAAAACACCGCCAAACTGGTCATTGAAGAAACGTATGAGTGAACCTATGTGCCTGGCTACAGGGAAAAGCTTCTGGGAGGACCTGGACAGTATTCCTGCTGCTCCATGAGAGTAGTGCTACATATATAAAGGAAAAAAAGACCAACCGTTTTGAAAAAAAAAAAAATGCTTGGAGATTATAAATTAGTTCTTTTTGGAAAGCAGGCACCCCAAAGTGATTTACTTTTTGAAGAATCCTGCTGCTATTGAAGGGGGTGAAACGTGGAGCTTGGTAATGGTGTACTTGATACAGCGCATTAGGGTATATGCAGAGGGATCTGGAGGTGAAAGGGTTCATGTACACGTTTATAAATGGCAGTTAATAAAAGACAGTCCATCAATCTTCTGTTTCTAAACATACCTTGGTAGAAAAGTGGTTAAAGGAAAACATTTAGGAAATAAATATAGAAATTGCCACTACTGATGCACTTTTAGGTCTCGGTCACATGCACGCTGATGCCTGTATGCCATGAATGAGCCATTTGTTTATGTGTCGCTGCATGCAGACCAGGGGCGGACTGACCATTTGGGAACTCGGGCACTGCCCGAGGGCCCGGGGTCAGTAGGGGCTCCATGAGATGCCCCTGATACCTTTTTCATAGGCTTTTTTAAGTTTGGGCAAGGACACAGGGGCCCCATGATCCCCTATTGCCCGGGGGTCCCATGAGTTGTCAGTCCGCCCCTGCCTGGTACCTTTTTCATAGGCTTTTTTGAGTTTGGGCAAGGACACAGGGGCCCCATGATCCCCTATTGCCCGGGGGCCCCATGAGTTGTCAGTCCGCCCCTGGTGCTGGCTCATTGACATCACGGCAGGAGTGCTCTACCTAATAGGGGTCTAGCACCTGGTGACAATCTCTACTATAACCAGACACTATTCTGGTACAGGGCCAGCTAGTGGCAAAGTAGCTAACTGCACCTGCCCACAAGTATATAACCAGCTCGAGCTCCAGAGTCATTCTCCCCTTTCCCCAGGGTTACTATAAATCTTTCATACATAAAGTAGCACAAGCAGTCCTTACACCCGAGGTCTCTCAGCTGTATTTTATGTTCTTTTAAATGTAAATTTCTTTAATGTCATCAGGCTGGTCATGTGATATACTGCATCCTCTACAGTCTTCCACTGGCAGTGGGTGGTTCTGGATGATGCAGTACATTGTGAGTACATGGGGTCATGTTTAAGAGGTGGGTTATGACACCATGTGCTCAGACTTTCCAGTGTTCTCGACTGAGTGAATTGTCATTCAAACCCGGAAAACTGAGGGCAAAGAAAAGGTACAACAAGGACAGGTAAGGGTGAATAGTGCATTTTTTTTATATTCCCTTATCCACTTCAACATCGCCATATATATATATATATATATATATATATATATATATATATATATATATATATGGCCTGGTATTGAAGTGGTTGTACTAGGTTAATGGTTGAGGCAACAACCATGATCCCAGTATCATTTTTTCAAGCAGGTGATTCTCTTTTATTTAAAACAATCTGAGCGGCTATCTCACCCCCCTCCCGATACAGATGTAATTGGCAGCATTGGCTCCCCCGGACACAGTGGGAGTTGTTCCTCCCACCATGTAATGTCAGAAACCAGAAACAATGAGGATTTTGTCACTTCTGGTTTCGGTTCTGTGTTTACTGGCTGGTTACTGCCAAGTGAAGCAGATGGTCGATCTGTGATCTGTGTCTGATTTGCTGCATTGGAGGCCAGAGGAGACAGACCCCAGATTTCTTCACGAAGAGGACCTGTCATGGCCCATGCTATCACAAGGGATGTTTTTCATCCTTTCTGATAACAATAAGAGTTATGCAAATAAATAAATAACAAAAAGGTACAGTGTTAAAAAAAATGTAAAAACTTTTTTTTTTTTAAAGTGTCTTCATGCTCACGTACAAAGGTGAACGCACGAGTCGGTCCCGCGCGCATATGTAAACAGTGATTGCAGTACACATGTGGGGTATCACCGTGAATGTCCGAGTGAGAGCAATAATTCTAAAGCCAAACCTTCAGTGCAATCTAAACTGGTAACCTGTAAAGGCTTTTAACCACTTGCTGACTGCGCTATAGCCGAATGACAGCCTTCGGACACAGCTGATCACATGTCATGGTAAAGGGCCAATCACAGCGGTGCTTTACCACGTGATCAGCTGTGTTCAATCACTAGGGAGGAGCCTATGTGCTGACATCACGCTGTCCACGTGATGGTCTGGCGGCTATCATTGTAAGTGCTTTTTATCCATTGATGATTTTATGCTCCACATAGTTGCTATACTTTTAATAAAACATACTACACTATATGATACTGTCTCCGGGCTCAGTTTATGAGCTTGCCCTCTAGGAGGAATCCCTTTCCTTGGTTCACCGTGGGCTGGAGATGGAGACTTGGCTACTCTACTTTTGATTGTTCATTTGGCGTATCACTGGCTTCTGGAGAGATCCCACCTTCAACCGGGTCACCGGCAGGAGGAACAAGCAGGAACACCCCTTAGTGTCATTCCGCTCTGGGCTTGCTTGCTACTTACGTCTGGTGAGTGCATTATGGTGGAGGTGCAGTGCGCAAGTCACAGAAGTCACTACATTTTGTTGATTTGATCACATTACTATTTTTGGGACTATTATGATATTTAGAGAACTTATTTATTTTCATTTTGTTATTTGTTATACCGTCTATTTTGTTTCTTCATTGGAGTATTCACTATTCTAGATTTCTTTTTTATGATGTTTCCTTTCTCTTTTATGATCACACTGGCCATCACTGATTATAACACACATTTTTATTAGCGCTGCACATTGATATTATAATGTGTCCAATCACTGTCACAGCGTGAAGAAAGTACTGCCAATCACCGGCAAGTGTGAAAGGAGACATCTACACTGATAATCAAGGCACTGATTATCACTGCCCTGATTATCACTGCAGCCCCAACAGTGCCCATCAGTTTTGCCTAATAAAGCCAATCAGGGTACATTGGTACTGCTTATCAGTGCCACCTCATCAGTGCCCATCAGTGCAGCCTCAACAACGCACATCAGTGAAGGAGAAAAAATACCTGTTTGCAAAATTTTATAATAGAAACTAAGAAAACCTTTTTTTTCCAGAATTTTCAGTCTTTTTTTATTCATTTAGCAAAAAAAAAAAAAACACCTGGTAGTGATTAAATACCATCAAAAGAAAGTTCTATTTGTGTGAACAAAAATTATAAAAATTTCATATAATTAATTTTCATAAATTGTCATTCAAGGTTCAACAGAGCTGAAAGCTGAACATTAGGGTAAAAAAGGGGTAAAAGTGCTTTGGTAGGCAAGTGGTTAAAGCATCGCCTACAGATAATTTAAAGTACCGTAGTATGTTGCCATTCCACAGATGTGCAAAATTTTAAAGCGTAACATGTTTGGTATCTATTTACTCCACATAACTTCATCTTTTATTTTTTACCAAAAAATTGGGTATTACATTGTGTTTGTGTTCATTAAAATTAATTAAAATGCATTTTTTCCCCCAAAATTTGTGTTTTAAAAACCACTGCGCATCTATTGTGACATAAAAAAATTGCAACACCCATCATTTTATTCTCTAGGGCTTCTGCTGTAAAAAATATAAAGTTAGGGGGTTCTAAAGTAATCTAGAGAAAAAAATGATGCTTTTACATGTGAATTCGGATGTCAGAATTGGCCCTGTAGGCAAGTGATTAAAATGTTTGTGTTAACATGGCTTACTCCTAGAACTGTCCACTCTGCCCCTGCATTACACGGGTGCTTTATTCTCTTCCCTGCCTAGTGCAGTGGTGATTATTTTATCATCTCCATGTAAAGTAGCAGCGTTCATAATCCAATTTCTCATTGTTCTGCTTCAGTAGATAAGGATTTCTCTGCTTCCACCAGGCGTCGGCCTCTCAGCATGAGAATGAACTCTGGAAGATTTTCATTTACTGTCAGAGATATTTGAAGTAATTGATATACAGACGTCTTTGTGGCATTGTACATCTCCCATGAAGAGAGGCAGTCGGAATTCGTGGGTATTCTTTGATTGTATTGCATTTGTAAGCTGTAGTTTGAGAAAACTGGCACAGAGAAAATGCAGCCGGTTATACTGGTATATATGAAATAGATTTTTCATTTTTTTTAGGGCTTTTTGTCTGCATGGTGACTGCATACTCACAATGACATAAAAGAAACCCTTTGCCCTTGTCAACTACGTCTTTTAAGCTTGGTTCACTTATATGCATTTTGCATTTGATGCTTTCTCTAGTGCTTTTTGCAGTTTGTTTTGCGTTTATTTACACACGTTTTTGATGCATTTTTACCGCATTTTGGGTTTTGTTCAGCCCTTTTTTTTTTTTAAAGTGGATTTTTTTTAGTTGCATGGCAGAATAAAAATACAAAATGCAAAATGCAAAACGCAAAATGTGGCAAAAATCCACTACCATGCACTTTAGCAGCTTCTCCCATATGGAAGAAAAATATATTTGAAATATATTTTAAAAATATTCTTCCCAAATATATTGCCATATATTTGAAATGCTACAATTTTGGCCATATTCAATATATTAAAAAAAAAAATAATAATATATATATATATATATATATATATATAAGCTCCAGAGCTTAGTAAATATATTTTTTAAATATATTCTTCTGATTTTTTTTAACATATAAAAAAAGTAATTTTAACATATATTTTTACATATATTTGTAAATGCATTCCAAAAATGTAGATTTGTATTTTTAAAGACATACAGTATATTTGAAATGTATTTTTAAAAACATTGTTCATATATTTTGCAATAAAAAAGCATTTCAACATGCAGTATACTGTGTGTATTTTATTGCAAAATATATGAACAATGTTTTTAAAAATACATTTCAAATATACTGTATGTCTTTAAAAATACAAATCTACATTTTTGGAATGCATTTACAAATATATGTAAAAATATATGTTAAAATTACTTTTTTTATATGTTAAAAAAAATCAGAAGAATATATTTAAAAAATATATTTACTAAGCTCTGGAGTAACTGCTCTTGCAGAGTGTAACTGCACTTTGCAAAGTGCACAGTCTATTTGCCTTTAGTAAATCAACCCCACAATGTACCATACCATATGCCCATCCAGGGGCATGTTTACCTGCACGTGCATGCACAGGTGTTCCATGCATTGCTGTGCAGGTGGTCATTAGCATGAGACCATCATCGCCAGCATTGATGGGTTGGAAAGGAGAAAAGAAAGATATTGATGATATGGTGGACAAGGCCAACGTACATTACACGCCCATACTTCCTCACTTACTGCTGTCTCAGCTCCAGGAAGATTGTGTTAAAGGGCACAACAATCTGTTTCCCTGTCCAAGCCCCTACATTTCATACATTCCAGTGAACAGCACTCACTGCTCTTGGATGAATACCTCTGCCTATGAAAATATTTATGCAACCAAAATAGTCATCAAATGGAAAGTTAATTTAAGAAAAGCTTACTGTATATGACTATTCAAGCCTCGTTCACACGGGCGTACTATACTGTGTACCTGTGTATGGGCCGTGTTTGCCTGCATGGGGATGCAGAGGTGTACCCCCGTGCAGGCAATCCCATTCATGTCAATTGGGACAGGCAGATGTGCCAGATATGTGAATATGCGACTCAGGGACACTTACGTATGGGATTATAGTCAACCCTTTCCCCCTTGTGCCCAGTACAGGGACAGCTACATCACTTCCTTTCAGCAGAGTGGAACCAATTCTCCTACAGCAGCGGATCTTGGGACCTGTAGTCCTATAGTCAATGCATACTGTATTCCTGAGTTCTGACTGAACTACATCTACCAGAGAGCTGGCGAACCAGAGGAATTCTGGGAGAGGAGATATATTCTTCTGGAAGGGTTGCGCTGGGTCTCTTGGTGCGGGTTTCAGAGCTGAAAGCTGAGAGACTGCCGTTCTCCTCAAGAGCAAGATTTCAGGCCTGTGGATGCTGGACTCTGTGCAGAAGTTCAGCGTAGCACTGACGCGGATGGCCTCACCAGGATCGCATCAGCCTTTCTCTGCACCGGGACTGTCACTGTTCGGGCCCCACTTAGATATCGTTGCTTGCTGCACTGACAGGCTGTTTGGGTGGGAACTCTGTACATCTCTGCAGACAATCATAAGCCTGTTCAAGAACTATTGTTCTTAGGCCTTGCTATCTACAGGATTGGTGAGCTGGCAGATGCCCAACCTCTTTCTGTCATCACTCTAGAGGCACTGCACATAGACATCTTTACACTTTATTCACCAGGAGACCTTTGCTTTGAGCAAAACCACAGCCTGTTTAACTTCATTGAACCTTACTAGTATTCACTAATGTTTATGGGCCCCACCATTGCTAGCAGAAGAGAGTGGATACCATTATATTAGGAACTTTCAACATCATAGAACTCAAGCTGCAATCTCTAGTTATAAGGATCTTTCTTTCTAAGGCCATTATTACTTAAACCATGATACCTAAGTATATTTATGCAGAAGTTTGCATTTAGATAGTTCTCTGCATACGTCTTTGTAAGTCTTTTCTTCCCCCTCTTACCGCTGTCGTTAAATTTAAATAGTTGAAACATAATTTACATAACATTTTAATCTGTTAAATATTGCTAATTGACCATTTTTTATTGCACCAGTGTTTCTACTTTTATGCATTAACTGGGGCTGTGCACCCTAAACCCATTATTCTTTTGGTCTTTTCTGTCGAATATAGTCTAATATAGAGGTGTTCCAAAAGAGTTGTGTTTCTTGCATTATTATTCTATGCTATTGATTTACAGTACGTCTGAACCCAGAGTGTCAGAGGTGTTGGGAGCAGCGTCGCATTTATTGCGAGGCAAACAAGGCGTTTGTCTAGGATGGCAATCTTCAGAGTGGGTTGCCCCCGGAAGAAGGGACGCAAGTAAAAGGGATGGGGACCTGGTGAGGCACTGCCCTCGGAAGAAGGGACGCAAGTAAAAGGGATGGGGACCCGGTGAGGCACTGCCCTCGGAAGAAGGGACGCAAGTAAAAGGGATGGGGACCCGGTGAGGCACTGCCCTCGGAAGAAGGGACGCAATTAAAAGGGATGGGGACCCGGTGAGGCACTGCCCTCCCTCGGAAGAAGGGATGCAAGTAAAAGGGATGGGGACCCGGTGAGGCACTGCCCTCGGAAGAAGAGACGTAAGTAAAAGAGATGGGGACCCGGTGAGGCACTGCCCTCGGAAGAAGGGACGCAAGTAAAAGGGATGGGGACCAGGTGAGGCACTGCCCTCGGAAGAAGGGACGTAAGTAAAAGGGATGGGGACCCAGTGAGGCACTGCCCTCCCTCGGAAGAAGGGATGCAAGTAAAAGGGATGGGGACCCGGTGAGGCACTGCCCTCGGAAGAAGAGACGTAAGTAAAAGAGATGGGGACCCGGTGAGGCACTGCCCTCGGAAGAAGGGACGCAAGTAAAAGGGATGGGGACCAGGTGAGGCACTGCCCTCGGAAGAAGGGACGTAAGTAAAAGGGATGGGGACCCAGTGAGGCACTGCCCTCGGAAGAAGGCACACAAGTAAAAGGGATGGGAACCCGGTGAGGCACTGCCCTCGGAAGAAGGGACTCAAGGAAAAGGGATGGGGACCTGGTGAGGCACTGCCTCAGCTCCACCATGAGATCTGAGGAAGCTGCACGCTGCTGGGGTACGGGGATGGCAGGCTACTTCTTTAATTCGGACGCTTAAGGTTAGTGCATGAATTGGGTGGTAGCGACAGGGGTGGGGTGGGTGTTGCTTGGTGGTGGCGGTGGGGTGGATGCGGAGGGGAATTGCGGTGATTATTATTATTATTATTACTACGAGTTTATATAGCGCCAAAGGGTTTGCTCAGCGCTGTACAATAGAGGGGGGGACAATACATGGCACAGTACAACAACAACAAACAACGTACGAGGGGTAAGAGGGCCCTACTCTTTCGAGCTTACAATCTAGGTGGGAGGGGGAAAAGGTACAGTAGGAAGAGGCTGAGGGGAATGAGGGGTGGGAGGAAAGAGGGAGAATGGCCGTTAGGTGAGGGTGGGGTAGGCTTCCCTGAAGAGATGGGTTTTGAGGGAGCGCCTGAATGTGAACAGGGAAGGCGACAGTCTGATGGATTGGGGCAGTGAGTTCCAGAGGATGGGGGAGGACCTGGAGAAGTCCTGCAGTCGTGCATGGGAGGAGGAGACCAGGGAGCAGGATAGAAGGAGGTCCTGTGAGGAGCGAAGGGTACGGGTAGGGCGGTACTTGGGGATCAGGCTGTGGTAGTGGCAGGGGGTGGGGGGGCGCCTGATTTTGGTGCTGCTTAGGTCAGCACATGAACTAAATACACAACTGGCCAGAAGGCTTGCAAGGTCAGGACAACCACTGGGGACAAGCATCATCAAGTGACCCCTACGGGGGTAGCACTACACTGGAAAGGAGCCAGGCTGAGGTTAGTATAACACGGGCAGAAGATGAGCCGAAGGGATAGGCAAGGTGCGAAGTCAAGAAGCAAGCCAGGCTTAAGGTGATGAAGGGATCGAGATCAGGTGTAGCCACAAGGCAAAACCAGGCATAGCATGGAACAAGCAGAGTCCGGTCACAGGTCACAGGAGTTGACAACCACTTAGAAATTGAGTATTGCAGTCCTTTACAACTGGGCACTAAATTGCATTCAAATGACCCTGACTCTGTGCACCGCTCTATGGACCGTTCTCATTTCTTTGAACATGGGCATGAACATGGTTTTTCCAACAAACAATCTGGTCAGTCTGGGTTGGTAATGGTTAGACAATTTCACAGGCAAAGAATTAGGGCTCATGTACACTGCAGCTGATAAACTCACTTTTAGGAGCTCTTCAGCGTTTTTTTCTTCAGCAGTCCCTGAACTCACCCTAATGTTTTCCTATGTGTCCATGTACACATCCTCGTTTACAGTCATTTACAGGTATTTGAGTTTACAGTCGTTTTTTTGAACGCAGAAAACTTGCGTTCAGCAGTTGATTTTATCAGCGTTTCAAACGCAAAATGCTTGTAAACGTGGCTAAATACGTCTAAACGCGGAAAATCGCGTTTATAAGCACTTGAAATTTTTTTTAACTCTTCCAGTTCTTGATGCTGTCCAGAGCCTTTTTTCATCACGAAAAATGATGCATGGAAAGCGTTTTCAAGGTACTCAAATGGACAAAACACTGAACACAGAATGTTCCTACCAAGCTTGTCACACATTGTAATGACCAATTCACACCTCAGACCTCTCCCACCCTTGGAAACAAAAGATATGTTAATGGTACTCACACCTCAAATTCCTTATGAAGACCCCCTGCCAGGTGACCTTAATCACTCACTCCACCAGACACCTTTCCCACCCTTGGAAACAAAAGAAATGTTAATGAGCAACTCGCACCTAAGCTAATCTCAACACATACTGCTATCTCTGCTTCTACTCTCTGTATTTCTCTGAAACAGTCTGAAATAGTTAATAATTTACCACTTTTCAGTGCATTCTGGGCATTTGGGAGGTTCTCAAGTGCTTATCTTTAAATAACGCTTCTAAACGCAAACGCGCATAAACGCGTTATGCAAACGCGGCTAAACAGATGTTTTTTAACCTACGCTTTCAAGCAGTCAGTTTCTATTGTTCAGAAGTGTCCCCGTGTACATGGGGGCTTATAGCTCTTTGTTCAAGGTTAGCTGACAGAGACACAGCTCCAGGCTGTTGCTTAAAGACCCTTCCTTGTTAGAGGATGCAATCTGTATCATTACTGGGAACTCTGAAAGTCCTGCTGTATATTCTTTGAGTACCATTTGAAGTCCTGGTAGGGATCCTGCAACCACCATTGGAACTCACGGTAGGGACTCTGCGAACACCGTTGGAATTCCTGGCAGGGATGGTGTCATAACAGCGACTGTCATCTGTCCCATAGAAATGTTTTCCATTCTATGCTTTGGGCACATATATGGGATTACTAATGATTACATCTGATATTCTACACCAGGAGTCTCCAAACTTTCAAAACAAAGGAACAGTTTCCTGCCCTTCAAACTTTAGGGGGGCCAGGCTGTGACCAGTGGGAGTAGAAAATGTCCTGGCATCGGTGGGAGTAGACAATGCCATAGGCTTGGTGGTCAGTGGGAGTAAAAAAAAATTACATCATTGCAGTCAGTGGGAGGAATCATGCCCCATCATTGCTGTCAATGGGAGGAATTGTGCCCCATAATTTGGTGTCAGTGGAAGAATTAGTTCCTCATCTCTGGTGTCAGTGGAAGGAATAGTTCCCCATTGTTGGTATCAGTGGGAGGAATAGTGTCCCATTATTGGTATCAGTGGGAGGAATGGTGCCCCATAATTTGGTGTTAATGGAAGAATTAGTTCCTCATCTCTGGTGTCAGTGGGAGGAATAGTACACCGTCTTTAGTGTCAGTGGAAGGAATAATGCCCCATCATTGGTGTCAGTGGGAGGAATAGCACCCCATAATTTGGTATCAGTGAAGGAATTACTTCCCCATCTTTGGTATCAGTGGGAGGAATAGTGCCCCACTGTTGGTGTCTGTAGGAGGAATAGTGCCCCAATATTGGTGTTAGTGGGAGGAATGGAGCCCCATAATTTGGTGTCAGTGGGAGAATTCGTTCCCCCTTTCTGGTGTCAGTGGAAAGAATAGTGACCCATCATTCATGCCAGTGGGAGGAATAGTACCCCATAATTTAGTGTCAGTAGGAGAATTAGTTCCCCATCTTTGGTATCAGTGGAAGGAAAAGTTCCCCGTTGTTGCTGCCAGTGGGAGGAAGAGTGTCCCATCATTGGTGTCAGTGGGAGGAATAGTACCCCCATAATTTGGTGTCAGTGAAAAAATTAGATCTCCATCTCTGGTATCAGTGGAAGGAATAGTTCCCCATTGTTGGTGTCAGTGGGAGGAATAGTGTCCAATTATAGGTATCAGTGAGAGGAATGGTGCTTCATAATTTGGTGTCAGTGGGAAAATTAGTTCCCCATCTCTGGTGTCAGTGGAAGGAATAGTACCCTATCTTTTGTGTCAGTGGAAGGAATAGCTCCTCATTATCTCTGGTTTCAGTGGAAGGAATAGTGCCCCATCGTTGGTGTCAGTGGGAGGAAGAGTGTCCCATCATTGCTGTCAATGGGAGGAATAGTACCCAGGGGCAGATTGACCATTTGGAAACTCGGACACTCGGGCCCGAGTGCCCGGGGTCAGTAGGGGGCCCCATGAGATGCCCCTGGTACCTTTTTCATAGGCTTTTTTGAGTTTGGGCAAGGACACAGGGACCCCATGATCCCCTATTGCCCGGGGGCCCCATGAGTTGTCAGTCGGCCCCTGATAGTACCCCATAATTTGGTGTCAATTGGAGAATTAGTTCCCCATCTGTGGTATCAGAAGGAGGAGAAGTGCCCCATTGTTGGTGTCAGTGGGAGGAATAGTGTCCCTTCATTGGTGTCAGTGGGAGAATTAGTTTCTCATCTCTGGTATCAGTGAGAGGAATAGTGCCCCATCGTTGGTGTCAGTGGGAGGAATAGAGTCCCGTCATTGGTGTCAGTGGGAGGAATAGTACCCCATAATTTGGTGTCAGTGGGAGAATTAGTTCCTCATCTCTGGTATCAGAGGGGGGAATAGTGTCCCGTCATTGGTGTCAGTGGGAGGAATAGTACCCCATAATTTGATGTCAGTGGGAGAATTAGTTCCTCATCTCTGGTATCAGTGGGAGGAATAGTGCCCTATCATTGGTGTCAGTGGGAGGAATAGAGTCCCGTCATTGGTGTCAGTGGGAGGAATAGTACCCCATAATTTGGTGTCAGTGGGAGAATTAGTTCCTCATCTCTGGTATCAGAGGGGGGAATAGTGTCCCGTCATTGTGTCAGTGGGAGGAATAGTACCCCATAATTTGATGTCAGTGGGGGAATTAGTTCCTCATCTCTGGTATCAGTGGGAGGAATAGTGCCCCATCATTGGTGTCAGTGGAAGAATTAGTTCCCAATCTCTGGTATCAGTGGGAGAATTAGTGCCCTATCATTGGTGTCAGTGGAAGAATTAGTTCCCAATCTCTGGTATCAGTGGGAGGAATAGTGCCCCATCGTTGGTGTCAGTGACAGGAATAGTGCCCTATCGGTGGTGTCAATTGGCACAATCAAAGTGACTATACTGTATGTATATTCTAGCTTGATTGATATGATTGCATAGCTGCAATTATAAACTGGTCGATAATCATAGATTGTTAATGTGTGCACCTAAGAGACATTTATTGAAGCTAAATGTCATCACCATGGTTACTGTACATAAGGGGTCAAATCAACCGTCATACACAAAGGGCAAGGATTAGTCCTGATATCCATGAAGGACTGATCCTTGAAGACATATGAAGATAATAGCAGTGTACGGAGGTGGTCCATGTCTTTAGTTGGAGATCTCGGAGGAATTTCAGATAGTTGTGAATCTCATGAAGTAATTCCACATCTAGAAATCCATTAGGTGTTCTGTAATAGAGAATGTGGGATTGTACTTCCCTTTGCACGCCATCCTCATCCATGACTTACGCAGGTTGGGAGACTCTCTCACCTATAAAGGGGTTGTTTTGGATGTGTGGCTGTGTGCTTAGAGTTGATATGGGGGCTGTGTGCCTAAAGATAAGAATTTTTGATAAAAAGGAAATAAAGATTCTTCATAAACGACTATTTTTTTCTTTGTGATACCCTAGGCCAGGTTTCACTAAATGGCGGACCGCGGTCCAGATCCAGACCTAGAAATATTCCTTCCCGAAACTAGTCTAGTGATGGCGGTAGGAGGTCGGTGATGGGGCAGTCTGGTGATGGGGTGGTCTGCTGATGGGGGCTGGGGGTTGGTGATGGGGCGGTCTGGTGATGGAGGTATGGGGTCGGTGATGGGGAGGTCTGGTGATGGGGCGGTCTAGTGATGGCGATAGGGGGTCAATGATGGGGCGGTCTGATGATGGGGGTTGGTGATGGGGCGGTCTGGTGATGGGGGTAGGGAGTCGGTGATGAGGCGGTCTGGTGATGTGGTGGTCTGGTGATGGGGGTAGGGGGTCAGTGATGGGGCGGTCTGGTGATGGGGCGGTCTAGTGATGGCGGTAGGGGGTCGGTGATGGGGCAGTCTGGTGATGAGGGTAGAAGGTCAGTGATGAGGCGGTCTGGTGATGGGGCGGTCTGGTAATGGGGGTAGGGGGTTGGTGATGGGGCAGTCTGGTGATGGGGTGGTCTGGTGATGGGGGTAGTTGGTCGGTGATGGGGCGGTCCGGTGATGGAGCGGACTGGCAATGGGGGTAGGGGGTCGGTGATGGGGCAGTCTGGTGATGGGGCGGTCGGTTGATGGGAGTAGGGGGTCAGTGATGGGGCAGTCTGGTGATGGGGGTAGGGGGTCGGTGATGGGGTAGTCTAGTGATAGCAGTCTGGTGATGGGGGTAGGGGGTCGGTGATGGGGTGGTCTAGTGATGGCAGTAGGGGGTCAGTGATGGGGCGGTCTGTTGATGGAAGTAGGGGGTCAGTGGGTCGGTGATGGGGCAGTCTGGTGATGGGGGTAGGGGGTCAGTGATGGGGCAGTCTGGTGATGGGGGTAGGGGGTCGGTGATGGGGCAGTCTGGTGATGGGGGGTGGTCTAGTGATGGCGGTAGGGGGTCAGTGATGAGACGGTCTGGTGATGGTGCGGTCTGGTAATGGGGGTAGGGGGTCGGTGATGGGGAAGTCTGGTGATGGGGGTAGGGGGTCGGTGATGGGACAGTCTGATGATGGGGGTAGGGGGTCAGTGATGGGGTGGTCCGGTGATGGGGCGGACTGGCAATGGGGCAGTCTATGATGTAAAAGGGGGGATGGGGGGAGGAAATGCGATGTGCACGGGAGACCGTAATGTGAAGGATCTGAGTAATAGCACCAACATGACACTTGGACCTCCGCTGGAAGAAAATTTTACTGACCGGACCCCCGTGAATTTTAACTCAGTACCCCTGCCCTAGGCTTTCATTGGTTTTCCCAGATGTAATAATAAAACGCTGACAGAGGTTCTAG